AATAAAATAAGAAATTAGCATTAAAAATATTATGGAGATCAAATCAAGAAAAAAGAAAATGATTAAGTAAGGATTTCAAGACCTGAAGCCACAATCATTTATTAATTTTTCCTTAGTTATCATATTATGTGACTATGAATTTGCCTTCCATCTTACTGCTGTGTTCTCTACAATAAAATGCCTACATTTTCTCAAACAATCTAGAATATTACCTTTTGAAAAATGCCTTTGACCTGTTCCTGTTTCCTAATTTTCATTTGAGGTCTTGGCTTAGTGGATTCATATTCCCTCTCTCTGTCTCTCTCTCTCTCTCTCCCTGCCCCCTTTACCTCTCTCCCTCCCCTCTCCCCCCACCCTGAACTAGGGATTGAACCCAGAGCTTTCACATTGAGCTACAATGCCAGTTCCTTATACATTTTATTTTGACACAGGATCTTACTAAGTTGCCAGGTTGCCCAGGCTGGGGTTAAGCTTGCAATCCTCTTGCCTCAGCCTCCCCCAGCTTCTGAGTGCTGGGATTACAGAATGAGCCGCCACACTCAGCTTCATGTCTCTTTCATGAAGCAGCATCAATCTACTAGGGCTTTTGCACAGTCCAAGGACATGCAAGACAGAGACATTGAAACTATAGCTAAAACCTTTCCCCAGCTCCATACCCAATTGAGTTCATTAGTGAATTACCAAATGTTTAAGGAAGAATATTATCTATCAATTTTACATAAAATTTTCAAGAAAAACAAGAGAGGAAATAGTTCTCAACTCATTATATGAGGCCTTGAATACTCCAATAACTAAAAGGAATGCCTATTTCTGACTTGAACTCAGCTCCTTTACCCTAGGCTAGGTATCTCTCACAGCTGTGCCTTGCCCTGACACCGGGGGAGTCCCAAGATGGAGCCAATCCACTGCTCGGGTTCAGTTGACCCCTTCCTAAAATGGCAACCAGCCCATCACCCTCCCCTGGGGACATTTAAATTGGAACCGCTCATCAGCCATTGCAGCCTGCAGCATCCACTGCTCCATCTCCACTGGTGCACGGAGGCCTCTGGCATCACCCAGGGTCATCGTGGCTCTGTAGGTTCAAAGCACCTCTCCATGCCACCAGCTGGGATTCAGGGAGAAAGTGCTGTTTGCCGCCTCCCTCCTCTGCATTGAGATCCCTCTCTTTACTCTCCCCCATGGGCTCCATTTCTCTCTCCAGTTCCTTGCTGGGTCCCAAGGACCCACTTCCCTCCTTCTCTTCCCCACTTGCTGTATTCCAGCATCTAGACTCCAAATCTCAGAGAGGCCGATTTGCTGCTGCTTGCCACTCTCCCATCTTCCCAGAAATTCTAATTTAAATTTCAGTGGTCACATATGCTAATACGCTGTATGAGCACATTGCCTGTAGAACAGTAAACAAGCCCATCTGAGCTTAAAATACAATATGAAGCTATGGTTGGATATTGTGTAGAAAATCCAGCAGGATGATTGGACACGCTATTTTCTCAAAGAATATAAAGATTCCGTCCCCTGAAATTTACATTCTGGGAGCAGGCTGGGGGTGGAGACAGACAATGAGTCACAAGCAAAATTACAAGGTTAATTTTATGTTGTATTAACAGGAGATAAATACTGGAGTCAAGGTGGGAGAACAGAAAAATAGAGCAAGGTAGAGTGTGTTGAGAGAGCCTGGAGGAGCAGGCTGAATATTACGCAGGGTGGTCAAGGGAGCCTCTAGGAAGATGAGACCTGAATCCAAACCAGAGTGAACAGCTGGGCAAAGAAAGCGGAAATAGTGCTGCACTCTGCTGAGCCTAGGGCACAACTGTAGGAGGACTTTCCCAACACACTGTCAGGAAGAAAACACACTCTGGAGGGGCACTGAGAAAAGAAAACAGTTTTTGCTAACAAAAATTGATGCTCCCGGAGCCATCTCTTGAAGTTAGAAATGAAAACAAAAGGGCAGGCAGGCAGAGTTGCCCTGTTTTTATAGCAACAGGCTCCTGGAAGCCATTCTGGAAAACACAGTGAAACAATCAACCTCTTGAAACTGCTTCTTCTACCGCGTTTCTCCCACCCTCCTCCTCAGTGTCAGTGCCAAGCTCCCACACAGAAGTGCGCCAGCTGGATTTGCTTGGGGCCTCTGAAAATTGCAGAAGTACAATCTTAAATTGAAATGTGACGATGAGAAGGCAGTAAGAGAATAGAGGTGGCCCTCTGGCCCGACTCAAGTGCGACAGCAGTGAAATGTGAGCCGAGAGGGAAAGAGAGGGGCGCAGGAAAGGGCGAGCAGAGAACACGCTGCATGTCATGAGCAGCCATCAGATCCAGAAGAACAACTTCCACCGCGGTGGCTGAGGGAAACGCGTGGCCTCTCGAAGCTAGGTGTAACCCAACTCCTGGTGCCCCACAGCCCAGACAAAGGCAAGAGTTGTGTGGTGAAACAGTAAAGCAAATCACCAGCAAGAAAATCTTACTAGATACACAGCACCTAGGGAGTACGCTATCCCAGCCAAGTAACTCCAGGCTGCCTGCTCTTAGCAACCCCGCTGAGATTCTGTTGGAGATCCTTTTCAACCCGGTACAGTAAAAAGTGTATTCAAAGGCTAAAAGCAGAATCTGTGAAATATCCCAGAAGATCCACTAAGGACTTCAGGGAATTAAGTTGATGCACATAAAATTAAACGATAGCTCATATTTTTAATTGTCAAAAAGTACGTTCACGCCAAAAGCATGCGCTCTGGTTCTTCAAGAATTGCTTCTGTGCTCCAAGAGGATCCTGATGGGGAATGAATTTAGGAGTCAAGGAAAGAAAATGGTCTTGACCAGGCAAACCACTTGGCCAAACCAGAACCCGAGCCCATGGCAGATTAAGGGCCTGCCCATCACATCTGTCATGAGATATGCTGCGATGATTACTTCAGACTGCCCAGATTTGAATGAACCGTGAAATCGATTTAATGGAACTGCAACAAGCTTTGTTGTTGTTGCTGTTACCATTGTTGGTTATTAGTTTCTTGTCTTATAACTCAGTGCCTGTATTTCCTTCACAAGATTATATTTGTCCTTAATGTCCCTATTTCTTGGTGTCACCTCCTTCAGAAAGACATGACTTTTCCCTGACTACTCATTCTGAATAGTTCTCTCCCCTCTGGCCCTCTCGTTGACTTTGCAGCACTCACAGTTAACTGAAATTGTATGTTCCATGAGTTCAGGGCCTGGACATTTATTGTTATAATAATAACCCAGGACAATACCCTCACCTAGTAAGTGCTTGATGAACACTATGACACTGAATTAAAATTACCTTGGGTGGGAGGTTCAACCCATGGCTTTCGCTGCTGTTGCTCATTCCAAACGCTAGTGGTCTATTTCCCATTGTACCTTTAAAACCTGTCACGCCCTCCCATCGGTTAACCTGTAACGTGATGCGAATGCAGGCAACCACCCTTGTCCACGCATCTGAGCTTGTCCTTCCTTGGCCAGGGTTTCGCCTCTGCCAGCAGCCGCAGTGCTGTCTGCCAAACTTGATTCAGCTACACTGAAACTCATTCGCACCACCCTCTTTTAAGCTTTTTTTCCTAAACTTTAATCCCAAACTTTAAAACCATTCTTAGTATAGTTTTATGAATTCTTACACAAGTACACCTCCGTGTAACCACTGCCATCAGCAGGAACCACCACAGAAGCTCCATCTTACTATCCCTCCCTCCACCCCAGCCCGGGCAACAGCACTAAAGCCATGGGTCTGTTGTCCATCACTAACGTGCTAACTCTTTGAGTCTGGTATGTGTTTGGAATTGTACAGTACAGAACCTTTCAAGAATGATTCCTTTTGCTCACATAAGTCCTGCCATCCGTGTTGTTGCACATCCACAGTTCACTCCTTCTTATTACTGAACAGCACTCCACAATGTGGATGTACCATCTTCTGGTTCGCCAACTGCCCTTTCAAAGAAACTTTGATTTTTTTTTTTTTCCATTTTGAGACGATCACAGATTGATCTGCCATAGGCATTCGTGCATAGCTTTTATGTGAAAGTGTTT